GTCGTGTCTCTATGTAGTTCTGTGTCCTGTGTAGTCTGTGTCTCTGTGTAGTCTGTGTCTCTATGTAGTCTGTGTCTCTTTGTAGTCTGTGTCTCTGTGTAGTCTGTGTCTCTGTGTAGTCTGTGTCTCTATGTAGTCTGTGTCTCTTTGTAGTCTGTGTCTCTGTGTAGTCTGTGTCTCTATGTAGTCTGTGTCTCTATGTAGTCTGTGTCTCTATGTAGTCTGTGTCTCTGTGTAGTCTGTGTCTCTATGTAGTCTGTGTCTCTGTGTAGTCTGTGTCTCTATGTAGTCTGTGTCTCTGTGTAGTCTGTGTCTCTGTGTAGTCTGTGTCTCTGTGTAGTCTGTGTCTCTATGTAGTCTGTGTCTCTATGTAGTCTGTGTCTCTGTTGTGTAGTCTGTGTCTCTATGTAGTCTGTGTCTCTATGTAGTCTGTGTCTCTATGTAGTCTGTGTCTCTATGTAGTCTGTGTCTCTATGTAGTCTGTGTCTCTATGTAGTCTGTGTCTTAGTAGTCTGTGTCTCTGTGTAGTCTGTGTCTCTGTGTAGTCTGTGTCTCTATGTAGTCTGTGTCTCTGTGTAGTCTGTGTCTCTGTGTAGTCTGTGTCTCTATGTAGTCTGTGTCTCTGTGTAGTCTGTGTCTCTGTGTAGTCTGTGTCTCTGTGTAGTCTGTGTCTCTGTGTAGTCTGCTGCTTCTATGTAGTTGGTCTCTATGTAGTCTGGTGCTCTATGTAGTCTGTGTCTCTGTAGTCTTATTGTAGTCTGTGTCTCTCTGTAGTCTTATTGTAGTCTATGTCTCTCTGTAGTCTTATTGTAGTCTGTGTCTCTCTGTAGTCTTATTGTAGTCTGTGTCTCTCTGTAGTCTGTGTCTCTGTGTAGTCTGTGTCTCTATGTAGTCTGTGTCTCTATGTAGTCTGTGTCTCTATGTAGTCTGTGTCTCTATGTAGTCTGTGTCTCTATGTAGTCTGTGTCTCTGTGTAGTCTGTGTCTCTATGTAGTCTGTGTCTCTGTGTAGTCTGTGTCTCTATGTAGTCTGTGTCTCTGTGTAGTCTGTGTCTCTATGTAGTCTGTGTCTCTGTGTAGTCTGTGTCTCTGTGTAGTCTGTGTCTCTGTGTAGTCTGTGTCTCTATGTAGTCTGTGTCTCTATGTAGTCTGTGTCTCTATGTAGTCTGTGTCTCTGTGTAGTCTGTGTCTCTATGTAGTCTGTGTCTCTATGTAGTCTGTGTCTCTATGTAGTCTGTGTCTCTATGTGTCTCTGTGTCTCTATGTAGTCTGTGTCTCTATGTAGTCTGTGTCTCTATGTAGTCTGTGTCTCTGTGTAGTCTGTGTCTCTATGTAGTCTGTGTCTCTATGTAGTCTGTGTCTCTATGTAGTCTCTATGTAGTCTGTGTCTCTATGTAGTCTGTGTCCTCTATGTAGTCTGTGTCTCTATGTAGTCTGTGTCTCTAGTAGTGTTCCTGGGTCTTTATGTAGTCTGTGTCTCTATGTAGTCCTGTGTCTCTATGTAGTCTGGTGTCTCTAGTGTAGTCCTGTGTCTCTGTGTAGTCTGTGTCTCTTATTGTAGTCTGTGTCTCTCTGTAGTCTGTGTCTCTAGTGGTAGTATGTGTCTCGGTATTCTGTAGTCCTCTGTTTGTGCTCTATGTAGTCTGTGTCTCTAGTGGTAGTCTTGTCTCTTGTAGTCGTTCTCTGTTGTAGTCTGTGTCCTATGGTAGTCTTTGTCCTCATGAGTTGTCCTCTATGTAGTCTGTGTCTCTGATGTAGTCTGTGTCTCTATGTAGTCTGTGTCCTCTGTGTAGTCTGTGTCCTCTATGTAGTCTGTGTCTCTGCTGTAGTCTGTGTCTCTATGTAGTCTGTGTCCTCTATGTAGTCTGTGTCTCTATGTAGTCTGTGTCCTCTGTGTAGTCTGTGTCTCTATGTAGTCGGTCTCTGTGTAGTCTGTGTCTCTATGTAGTCTGTGTCTCTATGTAGTCTGTGTCTCTATGTAGTCTGTGTCTCTATGTAGTCTGTGTCTCTGTGTCTCTGTGTCTCTATGTAGTCTGTGTCTCTTTGTAGTCTGAGTCTCTCAACACAGTTATTTCTTATGTTACGAGTGTTCTGTTTAAATATGCTAACGAGGCTAATGCTAGCTGTTATTGAGTAGAAATACGCAGACACAAAACAGACAGAGATAAATAAACTCTTCAATGTGGATTTGGACGATGTATTTAAACTAGTCTGAACATGTGTTATCTGTCTCACTTTACATCTCCCTGTCTGCTGGCCATTTCAACCAGAACAAAGAAAGAAGACGTTTCTCTGGTGGAGACTGGACTTAGCCGCTACGAGCTAACGGCTAACGGCTAACGTTAGCTCAGCTTGTTACTCTCATAACTTCAGACCCAGACGTCCCATCACTGAAACCCTTCATCAGTTACAATATAGAGATAAAAAGCACCAGGGTGTAAAAAGTGTTCGGTGAAAATGTGGATTAAAGCTGGATAAAAAGTCTGTTTATGACAAGATGCCACCATGGCTTTGTATTAAACCCAAGAAAACTAACAAAAGTTACCAACATTTTAAAAAACTGGGTTCATTTCCAGTTTGGCTGTAAATACATCCTCTGCAAGATGTTGCGTAACATTAGCACACCACGTTAGCTTATAAGTACACGTTAGCATCAGTACACCGTTAGCAAGCTAAACACGGCTGATTCGATCTTAGTTGTTCTCCTCTTGTTGCTCCCTACACTTTGTGGGTTTTAAAGAAGGGTAGTTTTGCCATCACTCATATTGACCAACCCAGCCTCACGGCATTTCGTGTTATAGTGACCAGAGTTGCGTGTAACGCGTTACTGTAATAATATTACTTTTGTCGGTGACGGAGTAGTGTAACGCGCTACTTTTATAATTCAGTAATCACACTACAGTTACTAACATTGCCCCGACACGCGTTACTTCGTTACTAAAATCAGTCATAATCAAACCTCAACAAACACCTGCAACAGATGCTAAGGTGAAGCTAACGCACAGCTATTTGTTGTTTGTTTACATCACAGTCTGTTCTTCTTCTCTGTTTTCTGGTTGTTGCCTGTTTTGAATGACGAATACACACTACCGCCGCCTGCTGGTAAGGAGAGTTATTGCCACTCACGCATGCGCAGTTCGTACGTGCTCGGCTGAAGTCTTTGCGGTGTCTGGCTCCAGTGCAACACATGGCCAACACGCAGGAGAACACGCCGACGCAACAGCGTGAGCAGAGATAGACTAATATACAGATATCAGGAGACAGAGGACAGCCACGGTCAGATAGGAGAACACTCAGGATCTGGATCAGTCTGATGCGACAATGGAAACTGAAATAAAGAGAACATTTGAAACTTTAGCAGTCTGCGTGATCTGCCTGCAGGGAGGGGCGGGCCGGCCCTGCGTGTAAAGTAACAAGTAAAGTAACGAGTTACTTTATGTAGAGAGTAACGAAGTAGTGTAATATATTACTTTTTTAAAAGTAATATGTAATATATTACTTTTTTTTAGTAACGACCCCATCTCTGATAGTGACGACATGTAATCTATTGATTCGTGTTCACCAACACGATTCCCCCTTGTTTTCGTGTCACACAGAACGATTTATTGGTAGTGTGTTTCGTGCCTGCAGCACGTCTTTTTGTCCGGTCGGGTCTTGGAAGAGCGGAAGCTGTGGTTCATAAAACATGTTCTTACTCAATATCAAGCCACGATTATTGCTTTTATTTTAAATGGTATAATGTCGGACTCTTTTTGCCGTCTGTGAGGAAAATAAATGTCTCAGAGCCTCAGAATACTGACATCTGTATTTTTTGAATCTTTTTTTCCTTCTAATGTGTTATTATTTGCTGCAGGCACGAAACACACTACCAATAGAAATACATTGCTTTAAAAATCGTTCTGTGTGACACGATGAAAAGGGGAAATCGTGTTGGTGAACACGAATCAATAGATTTCATTTTGTGACTATAACACGAAATGCCGTGAGACTGGGTTGCATAAACGTATTGTCCCGTTAGCATCATAGCTAAGCCGACTAGCGCGTCTACTGACCGTTAGCAAGCTAGCTATCTTCCCTCAATAAAAACGTGTGATCTGTGGAGCTACAGCAGATCCTACGTGTGTTCAGATTAAAGTCATGTTTTGTCCTGCTGTGTCTCACTTTCAATTAGTGTTGTCACGATACCAACATTTTGGTTTCGATACCGATACCAAGTCAAGAATTGCGATTCCGATTCTTTTTCGATACTTTTCTTAAAAAAAGGAAAACAGTCTTAAATGTAATTATTGTGCTTTATTTCACAGCATAACCATAACACACATTTTTAAACAATGAGAACAATAAACAAAATAAATGACAATAATTCGTATTAAATAAAATCATCTCAAACAACTTTTTTGTTTTATAAAATATAAACAGCTCTGGATTCCGGTCGGCGGGTGCTTAGCCAAGTTTGATGTGTTGGCTCCCTTGGTTTGCAGGGATCTAAAACATGTCTCACAGACAGGCCTCGTGGTTTCCGTGGCTTGCCCTCACTGTCAGAGATATAGCTCAAATACTTCCAAATTTCGCTTCTGCCGTCTTTTTTGTCAACAAGCCGAGGCGCAGCGGCAGTTGCACTCCCACTTGCAGCCATGCTTCTCGTTTTCTCACATGCTCTGGCAGCTAGCGCGTGGCCGCGTGCATGAGAGAGGGGAGGGACTTAGAGCGTGCTTGAGAGGGGAGGGACTTAGAGCGTGCTTGAGAGGGAGGGACTGCAGGCACGGCTGCAGTGCAGGGAGTGGAAGCAGAGCGCTGAACACACACGGCTCTTATAGTAAAACGGCGCTTTCTCACCGGAGTACTTTTCCCCATCATTCTTAAAGTACCGATACTAATGAAACGGAGGAATCGTACCGTTTTTAACGGCAGGGTATCGCGGTACCTTTCAAGTATCGGTACACCGTGCAACACTACTTTCAATGTCCCTGTTTGCTGACGATATGGCCGTCTGTCCTGCAGGAGACATGGTGGAGGACGCCGTGAAGAAAGCGCTCGGTAAAGACGACAAGGACGAGGACAAAGAGGACAAGGAGGGAGGATTCTTCTCCAAGATCTTCGACAGAGACGACGACGAGGAGAAGAGGAGGAAGCTGCGAGAGAGGGAGAGGGAGAAGGAGAAGGAGGACGATGAAGGATTCTTCTCAAAGATCTTCCACCGTGGCGATGATGACGATGATGACGAAGGCCGCGAGAAGAAATCTGGGTTCTCCGGGCTGTTCTCTGAGCTGGAAGGACCTCCGGGAGGAACCGGAGAACAGGGCGGAGGAACGAGCGTGGGGATCAACGACGGAGGTACGCTTCACTGATGATCAATTACATATAACAGCTATGAGACTAAAGCAGGGCGGTCGAGGCCCTCATGTCATGTGACCCGCGAGAGCCTGCAGAGAATATGATGTACAACACAATTCAACACCAAGGTGTTCTCATCAGATGCTCAGCAGCTTCAGTGTAGAAATGGAATGACATTCTTCTGACCTGAGCTCCTCCAACAAAGCAACATATCATAAAATACAACAATACAAAGAAAAAGTAGTGCAAGAAGTTTATAGATGAGAGTAACACATGCATCACTTCCGGGCGAAAATTACGGCCCCGCCCACTTTTGGGGGAAAACAAAGCTGTCGTTTGAATGGCGGTCAAAACAAACGCTGAAGTTTTTTGCCAATCCGATCAGAAATGTTAGAAAACCGTGGATTTTCAAAGAGCCCGATGACGACGGCCAGTCAGGCAAACAATTACATGAAATCATTAGAAATTGACGATCGGCTCGATATATGGTTAAATTAAAATCAGTAGGCGAGGCTGTAATTTCGCCGGCTGTTACTCTCATGAGAGAGGCGGAAAATAATAGTTGTTGTGTCGTTTATTGCACCCCAAACATTAAAACATATTTTCGCCCAGAAGTGACGTAGATGTAACGGCCCGTCCACACAGCGGCGTGCGTTGAAGCTTGCCGGCGGGCGTGTCTGAAACTCGACCAACAACCAATCACATGAATCTCCCGCCCCTGACACACAAGCAGCGGTTTGATTGGCTAGAGCTTGTACTGGCATATGATTCGATTGGCTGACGCTTCTGCCGAGGCTTCAAAAGTTGAACATTGCTCAACTTTTGCCGCGTCGCTTCCCACAATGCAGTTCTACGAAAAGTGACGTCACCCCATTCAAAGTGAATGGTGAAGCTTTCAACGCACGCCGCTGTGTGGACGGGCCGTTACTCTCATCTACGGACATCGATCGCCTACTGCTATATTTAACCATATATCGAACCCGATCGTGGATTTCAAATGATGTAATGTAATTGTTTGCCTGACTGGCCATCGGGCTCTTTGAAGATCCAAACATCCACGGTTTCTTACATGTCTGATTGGATTGGCAAAAACTTCAGAGTTTGTATTGACCGCCGTTACATTACCGCCGACAGCTTTGTTTTCCCCTAAAAGTGTTGTTTTCCAGTCAATTTTCAATAATGCATTAGTAGTAATATAATTATATAATAAATAAAGGTCAAATTTTTTTTAATTTTTAAAATGAGTAAGTCTCATTTATTCATGTATTATTTTAATGATTAATAAATATTTTGTAATATTACAAGATATTTTCAAACTTTTTCTGATTTATTTTTTACTTTTCTGATTATTAATTAGATATTAAAACTTTTTCAGAAAATGCACTAATATTTTCCTTCTTTATGTTTTACTGTGAAAATAAAACATAAAATATAGGCCACCATTTTACACTTTTAATACATTAAATAGTTGATTAATAAAGTCATTGTCAAGATTAATGTGAAATATGACTTTTTTGTGTGTTGTTCTTCAGACTTGCTGAGCGACCTGATGGAAGTGGCCGAGGAAACGTCTAAAGGGAACTGATCCTGAGGAAAATAATATATATATTTAATGTTTCGTCCCGCGTGTAACGTCTTTAAATATATGTTTGTGAAAAGAGGATTTGTTCATGGAGATCAAAACTCTTGAGTCTAATTTAGGACGTGGTTAGCGCAGCTTAGAAAGAATGTTAAACCTCATGTGTTCATTTTCACAGTCACAGAAATGTAAAAGAAAGTGTGTTTTAGTTATTCTGGTTTAGCACAAGCAGCACGTCTGAGGTTTGAGGGAAGAAACTGACATTTGAGGAAAAAAAGCAAACATTTGGGAAACAATTTAGAATAAATTCGGGATTTGGGGGAAAAAGTCAGAATTCTAAGAAAAAAGTCAGAACTTTGAGAAAAAAGTCAGAACTTTGAGATATCAAATATATCTCTGAGTGGAGTTGAAGCCCTTCATAACTGAAATGAAAGAGTTTTATATATTTCTAAATAAAATGACTTTATCAAATGAAAAGCAGCCTCTTATTGTAGTTAGAAGAACTGTTACAGCCGCTGCCTTCCTGGGACTGTTAACTGTGCTGCGCAGTTCTCCTGATGCAATTGGCCGTCCCGCCCTCGCAACGTCCGAAACGGTGATTGGAGTGACGTCATCCAATTCCCGCCCGCTTCCGGAACGTCATCCGGGAGGAGTACAAAGGACGGGGACGAAGATCATTCTGGAGGCTCTGGTTGAGACCTGAGACTCTAGTCTCTTGTTGTACTTACTCACTGTGCTCGTTAACACCGTGAATCACCTGTTTAGTATACTGCTTAGCAGTGTGTACTTAGTGTTGTGTGGTTAGTATACTGCTTAGCAGTGTGTACTTAGTGTTGTGTGATTAGTGAAGTATGTTAGCTTAGACTCAGGTTAGCATAGCGCTAGTGATGGCAAAATGAAGCGTCGAACCACTTGGACAATTGTGTGGGAAATAGGTTCATTTCTCGAAGCTTCAGTTACAGCGACCTCTCCTGGCGAAGTGCAAGGCTGCAGTGGGTTTAACGTATCTTTGCCTTGAAACATATTTGACACACACACACACACACACACACACACACACACACACACACACACACACACACACACAAAGACTGAATATCATGTTCTATTTGCAATTAAAGATTGATAATTGTGTGTATTGGGTTATTGAGAAGAGACTAGAGAGTGCTGGACATGTTTTTGCGAGGAGACGGCCTTTTATCAGTTATTAAAGTATTAAAGTTGAAAGGCAATGATTACAAGTACATCCATCCCGGGCTTTGAACCAGCTGCGCGGAGGACATCGCCGCATCCGGGCCGCCGGCTCGACCCGCTGGGCTATCTATCCCTTCATCTACTGAACTGTTTTTATATTACTGATAATTGTCTTTTTGTTCACAACTTCTCCACATTTCAAAGTGTTTCCCAGAACGACCCATCTTACTTCCTGGCTTGCTCTATAATGATACTACAATTCAAATGCAATACCAACAACAACTCAACACAACAACGCAAACTAGACAACAACCCGCACATTGCGCATTGTTTAGAGCGGTCATAAAGTGTTGAAGCGCTTGTTTGAAACTGTTTCAACCAGTCAGAATCGAGACGAGGCAGTGCATTAAATCACCTGATTGGACCGCGAACCAGTGAGTGATTCATTCAGGAAATGAAGCAGTTGCTGCTTCGGACGTCACATGTCACGTGATTTGAAGCAAGCTTCGAAGCACTGCTTCTATGGAATAGGAAGTCCAGGGTTGAAGCTCCGTTCGAAGCTTCAGTGTCAAACTGCCATCACTACATAGCGCCTGTTGACCCGCAGCAGCTGTGCAGCCTTTTCATTTACATGTACCACGTTACCGTGAGGTTTTTGTTTTCCTGTATGATCTGCCAAAGCCCCTTTTGGAGTCCTCCTTTGTTTGGTCCAGAGTTAAGTCGGCGCCGTCGGCCCTTCTGTTTGTTTCAGGCTGTTTGTCTGACAGTTGTTTTACACTGGGTTCAAATAAAGCCACTTATAATTGTTACCAGTTCCACTGTGGTCTGTGTGCTTCCCTTCGGCTCCCCGAGCCCAGTAGGGAACGTAACAAGAACAAAAGCAACATCTTTGAATACAATCAGACACTAAGGACACTTTATTTAGATTCAACAAAGTTATGACATCAAAAGTTCAAAAATATCAAAATGTCCAACAAGGTGAAAAGGTTTTCTGCCATAATCCAAAACCACCCGGAGAAATCCCATTGGACAAGAGAGATGCTGCCTTCAGGGACCACCACAGGAACAGGACGTGGTGACGCTGCCTCTCATGGTGAGCCTGGGAACTGCAGGTCCAGCAGAGTGAGGTCCTGGTGGAGGGGGACGCTGTTCTCGTCGCACAGGAAGTGGCTGCGCACGCTGAGGACGAAGGTTTTCCTCGGGAGGATGACGAGGCTCTGGAGCTTCTGAGCCGCCAGAGCAACAAACTTCACCTCCGACCCCGGAGCTGAGACGAGATATAACACATTTAAATACTTACACTTAAAATGGTTAATAACAAAACCTAAAAAAAATGTAACGGTATAATAAAAAAACGTAAAGAGTTACGTAAGGGATAACCATAATGACGCCTCGCTGCACATGGTCCCGCTCATCACACGGCCACATTCTCAACTAAGTCACGACGTGACTCCCAATATTCATTCAAATGCTTTTATAGGTTTCAGAAAATGTTTTTATTGATTTAAAATTACGTGCATCCGCTAAGAGAAATAGTCCGTTGTTACCGTTTGAACTACGTAGCAACGGCAGGAAGTGCTTCCATAGCGTTTTTGAGGAGCTTTTTGATCACAGATTTGAAAACATCGCTGCTTGCTTTAAAAGTAGCACACTTCATGAAGTCAGACCTTGGAGAGTATCTAGATATCCTGCCCTGATGCCAAAGGAACTGCACACTGAATATGTGTCGCCGTCTGATGTCTGTGTCTGGACCGCTGCGTAACGAGGAGGGTTTCTGCCCGTTACTTCTCCGCTGGTTTCTTGTCCCTCTTGTCTTTTTCTTTTCTTTACTCATCAGCCACTAACCATTCATCCAAATGACTGCTCTCCAAATATATTCAAATGAATATTAACA